GTGTAATTTTTTATGGCATCTAAACACATCAAAAATGTCATATTCATTTAAAAGAAATGCTTATTTATTTCATTATCAGCAAACCTATAATAATTACAAAACAAAATTAATCCACATATAATTATGTTTTCCGTTGTTACAATAAATAGAAATATTGCGTACGATTCAATACAATATGTCAATGTAAAATTCATCTCAACAATTCTAAAAAATTATAGACTATTACAAAAAAAATTAAAAATTAAAAATGATTAACCCATATCAAAGTTTATTTCTTTCACCGAAAATTTAGCCATCCCACAAAATATCAAATCTCTGCACACCACATAAATAATAATAACACAATTAATAAACTTAAAGTGAGCATGCAAATCAAAAGTATATCAAAAAATATATTAAATTTTATCTACTCAACAATCTCTTAACATAAACTACCAATAACAGCATCATTATGTAACCTCAATGAGCCAATCTACATCTTGACACATAAAAATATTTAAAAGCTAAATATCTTCCTAGAACATTAGTTTGACATGAACAAAACTACTAAGGTAGACAACAATAGTAAATATATAACTGCTTTATCTGCAAGTTCATTTAATTTAAGATGAACCTCCCAATTCGACTCAGGTACAATTCGAAAGTTTTGTCCAACCCTAAAGAAAATGACTTTTTCATATTATCTTTTTATTTGATTTCTCTTTTTAAAATTTAAGAAAATGATTATATTTCTCACTAAACAAAAGTTTGGAACAAAAAGCATTAAAGGCATCTTCATGCTACTTATTCTAAACATCATAATTTTTATTAGAAAGAGCGTCTTCAAAAATAATTAAAAATTAAGAATAGACATTTTTGTACAAGTTTACAATGTATATTCCTTCTTCATTTTTTTTTTTTTCGATAAAACATTATCGTTCACTACTTTCCCTCGTTTTTCACTTTACTTCTCTATCGTTCGCATTGCCATTTTTCAAGAAATTTATGGGAAATTATGAAATAGCAAATGACGGTACTAAAATTAATATTATAGAATTTCACTCTTTATATTAACGTTTTAACCATATAAAATTTACCGGACTTCTAAAATAAGGAACCAATTCTCTAAAATAAAGAGAATGGGAATCGCAGGTGAGTCTACTTAAGATGCTCTAACAAAGACACACTAAGCTAATTCATGAAAGGTTGAAAATGATGCGCACAATTGAAATTCAATGGATATAAAATCATGACAACATGATATAACTAAACCCTCTCACTATTAATATGACATGCTACCATCGGATATATATATATATAAACAACACATGCTACCCACTTTGGTTTAATTAAAATATCAAAAAAGGTACCCCATTTGAATAAAGGAGCAATTAAAGAGCACGTCGATTTTTTGGACAAAGGAACAACTGATACCGTCTTACATTTTCTGGACAGAGAAAATTTAACCCATGTTTTGCAGCTTTCTTTAAGAAAGAAAAGAAATTTGATGCCAGTCAAGAATAGGAGAGGAGGCTCACTGTGACTCTTAGACAAAAATGACTTATTCAAAGGTTGAATCCCAACCTTAAGGGCCCCCACCGACCCTGTCCTGGGCCATCGTGAAGGAGGTAAATCGCAGGATGTGCCTCCCAGGAGCCAGGGTGGAGAGCACATGGATAGGCCAAGGCTGTTAACCCATATGATAATTCCCGCTTGCAACAAAGTCAATTCCACCTTACGGGAAATCGAACTCTGCACACTGTCGCACTGAGCCCTATCCGCCCTCCCCTTTGCCACTGGGAGATATGCCCTAGGGGCGACTTATTCGATATTATGAACAATTGCTTATGAAGGAATCGTTCATTTTTGTAAGCTGATCCTGTATATTACTTGTGTCTATTTCGCCATTGAAGGTTCGTTCATAGGGATATTGACCGCATCTTTTGGCATAAGTAATTATTCCTTACCTCGGGACTAAATTGGTTATTGGGCTGTGAAAATTGTAACAAGTGTTGGAAACAGAGATGAAGAAGAGAAGCAGCAACAAGAAACTTTTGACATGATTAAATACTCGATGCCAACACTTGCGCAATATATCAGTACCTATATGACAGACCTAGGTATTGGTATCAATATCAATGTGCTAATTTTAAAGTCCACGACACAATCTATCAGGAACAATTTCGCTATTTATACATCCGGATTGTCAACCCGAGATGACACCCCATGACAAGAGAGGGGGGCCCACACGTAATTATTTTATTATGTGTGGGCCATCGGGGGTGTCAAGCCCGGATGTACAAATAGCAAAACTCTATCAGGAATTGGAATCTAGTAATAAATTGACTGATGCTACTTAACCAAGTTATATCCAAACCTTCAAACCCCTCAACAAACATGCCAGGTGTAATTGAATTACATCATGAAGATCGTAAAAAATCACAAAAATATGCAGACGGTAGATACATTTTACAACTCGAACACAACAGACTGAATCACCAGAGAGCTTACATCAACTCAAGCCAATCCAGAAAGATCATCTCCTTCATAATTATTATATTGAAAATCTCCTTCAGTGAGTCCTTGCTTCTTTTGTGCGAGGATGAAGTCATCATATTTCACTTTTTACTTTTTAACAAAAATTACCTGGGTCAGCATTTGCCCCTGCCTAGTCGTTTAATAGAAAGAATTAGTATCAACGACCAAAAGTGAAACATTCTAACCTTACCATTAGAATTAACTCCAAAACTCCGAACCAAATTACTACCTCCGTTGCATAAAGGAAACCATCATTCAGCACTTTCAGCTTACAGAAAAAACGAACTGATACCACCAAAGAAACTACTTTCAGCGTCTTCAATATTACCATGTAACACAAGTAACAATGATTAGGTTGAGGGAGACTGAACGTTATGTTACAGAAAAACTATCGAAAGTTCAATTTTAATTCAACTTGAGAAATAAAATCATCACCTTTTAGTGTTATTCAAGCTATGTTGATGAACTAAAATAAAATGCAAATGCATTATTAATGCGAGCAAGAAAGGGGCTGGAATGAATGCAAGAAGATACATGCTAATGATTGGGACTATAAACAGATAACGTTGGTGGTTTCAGCGAGAGGGCAGCTTTACCGTTCCTACTACTAGCCATTGATGTACAATGAGCTCTTTATGTGAATTACTAGTTGAGATAAGAAAAGTTTCAAACTGAGACATATTCGAAGTGAGATTCCAGTCATTTTTTGGATGTCGATTTGCGAAGGAGGCTTAAGAGGAGAATGCGTAGTTAGAAGCTGAAGAGATGTTAACGTCCAGTATTTCAGGCCAAGATTGGTCACAAGCACAATGTTTTCAAACCCAATTTTATTCTGCCAAAACTGTGGATGATAATATGTAACACTATCTGGTTCGGCTTCCTCAACATCTCCAAAGGGCATGGAATTATCAGTTTTCATACTTGGGGTGTTATGAAACATATCCTCTGTTGCAACTTGCAAAGTCGTATAATTACCAAATTCAATAAAAGTCTCCTATTAGAATTAGGAACTTTAAACCTATAGGTCTTGATATGTCCTTAATTCAGCCCCTATTTGAGCCTCACTCTTTAAAAACTCATTTTTCTCCAAACTCATTTTTCAACCCACATTATCCTAATAAAATAATTTTACATGTAAATCCAGAACTTCTCCCTATTTTTCAACCACACATTATCCAAAAAATCACTATTACAAAATCTACCTAAAAAATAGGGCTCAAACAAACCATCAATAAAGTTGTGACACGAGGAATTGATATTGCATATTTAGCAAAGTAATTTATAACCATGAAAACTTGCCTTTCCCTTGTGGGGCCGAAGACAAAACTCCATTATCTTAGGCCACTTCATTCCGAATCACAACACCAACCAAAAAAACAATTTTCTCAAGTCATTGTTATACTTGGCCCCTGTTTGGTAAGGATTAAAACCAAAATTCTAATCTAAATCAAAATTAACAATTAATTTTAATCACGCATTTCACGGGAACCCGCAACTTTTCAACATGTTTCATTAACTTTTATCAAAATCTACTAAAAATCTGATTTTAATCCCTACCAAACAAGGCATTAGGATACTTTTCCTGATCTTCACTATTCTTTAACCCAAAGCACAAGAATTTCCCAATCCATTATGACTCACAAGCCAAAATTTTCCTACAGTTGGGTAGTACATTGGACTTGTCCTATGACACTGTTTCAATTGACATAATGGGACATACAGTACATGCACGTGCATCAAATATGAAGTTCGTGATAAATAAATGCACTACATGCAATGAAGTCACTGAAAATGAATAACAGAATAGTGGGGAAAATGAAATAGAAATAACTCGTAGTATAATTTGATTGGAGAATGAATCTTCCAACTTCATAGTACACTGCCAGTAAACAAAATCATAAAAGGGCTACCAATTTCATTAAGCGTTTCAAGTTCAGTCTTGCAGTATAGCTAATACTAAGAAAAATGAATGTTGCTTTCCCTTGGGGGATGCTGTTCCATTTGGATCTCTATCAACTTGTGTACAGAAAATTATTTGAAGATCTAATTAGAATTCATTTATTTGCTTATTTACAAGTAATTTTCATATTTTTCTAATTTGATTATCAAAATGATGTAAAAAAGAGTGCACGCGGGGCTCTGTTCTTAAGAATATTGGAAATTATTTGGTCAAGTGTTTTTAGTATTTTATGACACATGGATCCATATAATGAACGCTGGATTTGTTTTGTACAGTATCTATACCCTTTTTTATATAGAAGATACTGATTTTATGTTCTGCGTTTTTGGGACTATTCAAATTTTTTATTACCAAAACGTTCTTAAGAAACAGGTAAAAAGCGCTGCCTACGTGTTCCAGTTGGTGAATCCATATGCTGGAAGACAGAGAACATATATGAAATGTCGCAGAAACACCTCCAATGTCTTCCAAAATCCCAACAAGGAAACTAAATTAAACAGGCCAATGAGAGCTCATCTGCATCATAGAAAATATAGATATGCTAGACCATGCAATGAGGGGAATACACAATGTAAAATTAACTATTTTTTTCCCCCTTCCCATCCCATTGCAAATTTAAGCTAAAGGGGTTCTGCAATCCAAAGTACAATTTAAAGTTTTTTCCTAGTAAAATTTGCGTATGCTAAGCAGTTACTCACCATACAATAAATTAGGAATCTGCATTCTTCAGTCACTTTAAGCTTCACCTGCATCAGCAAATATCAACAAGACAAATTGAAGTCTTGCCTTCAAATATAAAATATAACTCATGCAAGACAAAAGTATCAGAATGTTTCACTAAGCTTAAAAAGTTCACCTATAGGTAAGTTTAGTTTAAGTAAATAAGTATGTTTCAAAATAAATAAGTTTTTCAATTGGTGAAAGTTTAAAATAAGTAACCTATTTTGACAGCAAAGTATTCAAAATAAGTATCTTTAAACATGTTTGGAAGCTAAAAGTAACTTAACTTTCTTTTTAAACTTAACCAAAAAATGCTCATAGTAAATGCCTGCCTGAAACCAATTCTGTGAAGACAATAAAATTCTAATTTGCAGTCAGAAAAAACTTGGGAAATACCTCCATCAAAGATCAAGCTGCTTCAGTCTCGCTAATTACAAATGCTTGAATGAGACTCTGTGCGGCACTGGTCTGTTCAGGTGTCCCAGATATTATGATGACTGTTTCTGTCGCTCCAGGCTTTGTACCATTGATGGTAATATTTGCATCAGAAATCTGAAATAGAATAATTAAAGATACATTTTATAAAACCCAAAATCCTTTATCGTTAATAATGAAAATTAGGACCTTATATGGATATGAATATTGTATATAATTGATTTAGATAAATTATAGTATTACTACAATTACATACATTTATATATGTATAATTTTATATAATTATGGTTGGTTGATTTCAAATATAGTATCACTATAATTACATCCGTCTATGCACATATGATTATATATAATTATGGTTCATTAATTTCAAATATAGTATTATTAAAATTATGTACGCCTATTTATAATTATATATAATTAAAGTTAACCGATTTCAAATATACTATTACTACAATTACTTGCGTCCATATATGTATAATTACATATAATTATGTTTGATTGATTTAAGTTATATGATTACCATAATTACGTGCATCTATATATGTGTATAACTATGATTGTTCCACACTACACAGTTCATAAATGGTTGTTTGAGGTTAAGTTCTTCTATACATGTTTAATCAATCCTCTTCAAATTTACAATGTAAATGTAGTCATAAGTTAATGTTGAATCGGTTTTCATACTTCAAATAAGGAATTCAATTTATGAATATGATATGAGTCCTATATATGTAAGTTCAAAGGACCAAAGTTCACTAGCACTACACACGAGAATTATAGCAATAAAATACAGTTCTTAATTCCGGTGTCTTTTAAATATAAATTATGATTTATGTGACTCCCTAATTGGGATTTATGACATTGTTTATGATTTTTCCTGTTTTAGATAATTGAAGTTCGAGGCATTGAAGCTTGAAACTGGCCACTAGTGGTATAATAAAAATATTATTAAAAAATTTATTATTTTACTTTTACGATTTAGTAATTCTTTTTTTTTTCAATTATTGTAATTAGGACAAACGTTATATTTATATGGAAGTTAAGTTTTATTTTACAATACGTTTTAATGATTCAAAGAAATATTTTTGGGTCGTTACATATTTAACAGCTTTGAACTTAAGACAATTTGTTGAAATCCTGAGATGATTGGATATGATTTATTTTTCCTTTTAGATGATTTATTCTTTCCATAGTTGAAATATTGTAATATTCTAGATTGTAGGATTATTATTTTCCTTTTAATCTTTCCTTTCTTGTACTATAAGTAGATGTAGCGAGTTGTAAAATTAATAAGATGAAATATACATTTTCTCTCATGGTATCAGAGTGAAACGGTCCCTAATCATGTCAAAAGCCATCGCCAACAGTAGAGGATCCACAACCTCAGCCTCTCTCAATAACGAGTCCAAAACTGCTTCCGCCATAGGCTCGAGAGAAAATTCATCCTTCCAACTAACAGTTGAAAAACTAAATGGGAAGATTTTCGTGAATGGGCTCAATCAATCAAACTCATAATTGATAGGAAAGGAAAATTGGGTTACCTCACCGGTGAAACACCAAAGTTAGCCTCAACTAACACTGCCCTTCTTCAAAAACAAAGGTCAAAGAATTCCATGGTGACTGCTTGACTAATAAACTCGATGAAATCATCAATTGGAAAGACTTATCTTTTCCTACCAGCAGCAAGGGACGTATGGTATGCAGTAAAAGAGACGTACTAAGATTCTGAAAATTCATCCCAAATCAATCAAGACCAAACTTTGGCAAACTAGACAAGGGGAACGAGATGTCACCGAATACTACCTTGAAATGACGGCCTTGTGGCAAGAACTTGACTTGAGCTCTAAGGAAGAATGGGAATGTAAAGGATACAGTGCGCGATTCAAGCAGCAGCTGGAAAATGAGCGGGTGTTTGAATTTTTGGCAAGGCTTAATCGAGATCTTGACGACGTTAGGGGACGCATTCTCGGGAGGAAACCTTTACTGTCGACGAGGAAAGTGTTCGCAGAGGTACGACGTGAAGAAAACCAGGGAAAAATCATGTTGAAAGCCATCGGAGGTGCGTTGGACTGAAATCGGGACAGAGGGTTCAGCCTTAGCGTCAAAATGGATTGGGTCTTCCAGTGTTGGGCAATTAAATAATGGGCAGGGATTTAAAAAAAGTGGGCCTCAAAATTTTAATGAATTAGTGAAATACCCGAGAGTTGGCCTAAAATCATGGGCCTTATTCAAAAGGAGCAACAAACGGACCTAACCCAAGACAAACAAAAGGACGACCATGGTGTAAACATTGCCATAAACCGGGACATAAAGAATACACGTGCTAGGATTTGCACGAAAAACCAGTAAATTGGAAATCGAGACAAAATAAAAGCCGAGGATATCAAGCAGAAAAATCCAAGGAGTCAAGTTGCAATTTCAATCTTGAACAGATTGAGCAACTTTACAAACTGTTAGCCAGTCTTCAACCACCAAGTCAAACCTCCATAAATAATCCATCAAGCTCACTGGCTAATAGAGGTAATTTCTTGAGAGCCTTAAAATCCACCTCACAGTCTAGTGCACCCTGGATCATTGACTCTGGAGCTTCTAATCACGACTGATTCCTATCACCTATTTTCTTCATATTCCACGTGCAGGTAATCTCAAAGTTAAAATTGCTGATGTTCCCTATCGACGGTAGCAAGAAAAGAAAGTATTAAAATTTTTGATTCTATAACTTTAGAATCAGTTCTTCACGTCCCAAATTTATCATGCAATTTACATTCTACAAGCTTGTTAACAAAAACTTCCAATTGCTGCGCTAAATTTTTTCCATTTGAATGTATCTTTCAGGACCTTTCATCGAGGAAGACAATTGACAGTGCTAAGAAAAGTGAAGGACTCTGCTACTTTGAAAAGGCTAATGTGAGTAAACAATATCAAGTTAAATTTTGTGTGAGAATGAAAACTGAAGATGGAGGTAATCCGGTAGAAACCGATAGATATCAGACTGGTTGGAAAACTAATCCACCTGTCATACATCAGACCTAACATCGCATTTGCAGTCAATCTAGTAAGCCAACATATGCATTTTCCAAAAGAAAACAACCTAGAAGCTGTATATAAGATACTCAGATATCTCAAGGGCTCCCTGGGAAAAGGACTACTCTTCAAAAAGGGTGAAAGAAAAGAAGTTGAGATTTTCACAGATATAGATTGGGGAGGATCAAGAGACAATAGGAGATCTACCACAAGTTACAGTACATTTGTACCCGAAAATCTAGTAACTTGGAAAAGCAAGAAACAGAATGTAGTAGCTAGAAGTAGTGCTGAAATTTAGTTCAGAGTTGTTGCACAGGGAATGTGTGAAGGGTTGTGGTTGAAGAAACTTTTAGAAGAATTACACGTTACAATAGAGTTGCCACTCGAACTTTATTGTGATAATAAAGCAGCGATTAACATTTCTCTTAATCCAATTCATTATGACCGACCTACACATGTGAAGGTGGACAGACACTTTATTAAAGAAAACATTGAGGAAAGAACTATCTATGTGACCTATGTTCCCACACAAGCATAAACTACATATATCTTCACCAAAGGATTACCTAATCAAAGATTCAATGATTCCATCTTCAAGTTGGATATGATCAATATTTACAATCCAACTTGAGGGGAAGTGTTGGAATTGCAAGATGATTGGAGATGATTTATTTTTCTTTTAGATGATTTATTCTTTCCATAGTTGAAGTATTGTAATATTCTAGATTGTAGGATTATTATTTTCCTTTTATTCTTTCCTTTCTTATACTATAAGTAGATGTCGTGGGTTGTAAAATTAAAAAGATGAAATATAAATTTCTCTCTTCACAATTCAACCATTGAAATACACATTAACAAAACTATCTTGGATACTCAAAGATGTATGTTAATACATTCATAATTAAAAACTAAAAGTTAAAAAAGAAATAATGCAAGAGGCACAATATAAGCCGTTTACCAAATCTAGAACCCTAGAACTGGGAACCTAGCACAATCTAATTATTTTTCCATTAAACATACACATCCTCAGAACTTAAATAAGACTGAATTCATATAACTCCAGTGGCAAAGCAAAAGAGGGCAACTGCATTTTGAAGCATTACAAGCAACTTTTCGTGTGAAAGTTTACATCCACCATGATACCACCAAAAAGGTGTCCAATTCAAGACATGCAAAGAAGCCTTGAAAGCTAATACTGGAGATAAACCATAAGGCCTCTATCTATTGAAGTGGCTGTAAATTAGCACCTCTAACCAAGAAGGGACCAGAAAGTTTTAAAACGGAACATTGTAAAAGGGAGTAACTAAAATACTTCCCAAATCCAGGAGGTAATAGGATAAATTTAGTGGCCATACCAACAAGACCCCCTATAATCAAATAAAAAGCCATGAAAATTAAATTTCCCTATCTAAGGTACAAAACATAGAAATTGTTTTGAAAGGAAAATGTCTATTTCCAGCAAAATATATAAGTCTGGCAATCAAAGGATGTTTCAGAAAAGTATACCTCGCGTATTTGTCTAAGACATTCACCTTCCTCTCCATAGATTGCAGGAACAACAGAGCGAGGAACAACTACTTCCACAGTTGTGCAGGTGATTATAGCTGGATGATTTCCTCTACATGGTGAAAAAAATATTTGATCAAAAAATCATGAAAACTAAAACTAATAATTGCTTATAAAAATCTAGAATAGACAAACCCTCCAAAACCACCGAATCTTCTCTGAGGAGCTCGATAGTCCGGGAAGTCTATTGGGCCAGTGTCCTCGATACCCCCCTGTGCAAGAGTTTGTAAAAACATCAAAAGATGAGAACTGCTAACTTTCACCAATGACCAAAAGCATTGGAGACTTGTCAATTATGTTGAAATGCTCCTAACAATCAAAGAGTTGAAATAAATTTCAAACAAACATAATGAAAGGGAAACCCGGCATTATTTGAGAAAAGAACTAGGAAGAATCAAAACATGAACTGCTAACTTTAGTAGGTAGATACCTGAGGTCCCCATGGTGCTGAGGATGGCACTCTTTCAGAAATGTGAGGCAGGCCTGGTCTATGAAAATCATGTGCAAATGGAGAGTGATCATTATGTGGGTGGAAGCCACCATGCGGTGGCAGGCCACCAGGAGCATCAAACTTGTGAAAGGATGGCCCTAAAGAGAATATTCCTGAAGGTGAAAGCTCGCTCCTTCCCATGAATGAAGGAAACTGAGGTATTTGGTCCAGAAAGCCTGGATTAGGAGGGTGATGCATAGATGGAAATGCATCACGCAAATAATGATCTCGCAACCTTGCAGTTATCTGCAAAATAGCTTCTTCAACTCTTTCAAATTCTCCATTTATCTACACAAGCAAATAAGTCAAGCAATAAGAAAAAGGTCAAAGATGAGTCCAGTGCTATGTTTACTTTCATCTTAAATGCCATAAGGAAGGGGGCAGAGAGTTAAAGCTTTTGATTAAGTGGTAAAGAAACAACACGAATAAAATTGGCTCTCCAAAAAACCATATGAAAGAACACGACTTTCAGCATCCAGCCAAACCTGAACTACTTCTTCATTTTCTGAAGCACATTTTGGGATTTTATCTTTCCCCAGTATACGGATATAAGCACCAGTTGACTTCCTCATTTCAGCAATAATAGCACCGCCCTTGCCAAGGAGACATCCAATTTGATTAGAGGAGACAAGGAGTTTTGCCTTCAATGTCTCCTCCTTACTTTCTGGAGGGGCTCTAAATATTCTTGATTGTACCCGAAGTACAGCATCTTGTGGGGCAGATATTCTTTCATCTGGGTACTGTAAAATTGGAACTAAACTTTACAATTTCCGCATTGAATCAATATAAAAAGTGGAAAAGAGGAAACTAGTATGAAATTTCAGAAGACTCAAAACCATACAGCTGGGCCAGATATGACAATTATGCGATCCTCTGAATCAGCAACAGCGTCCACGACTTTGATCTCACAGCCGGTTTCATGTTGAACTGCCTTGACTATACTTCCTCCTTTTCCAATTACCCCACGCACCTTCTCATCCGGACACAATAACCGGAAGCTAAGCACACCTGGAGAAGGATTCGTCCTGCCAGGAAATCTGGCTTCAACACCATGAAATCCAGAAGAATGTGGTGGCCCATGTCCATGGAGAGAACGTTTTGAATATTGAAATGTATCCTGTCTAGTACAAGGACCAAAGGAAGAAGATGAGGGACCACTGGGGTTTGAAGAGAGAGAGTCCTGATCACAAGCAAGATGCTCAAGTAGTTGCTGGGAAACTGATTGAAGAGCTTTCTTAACAGCATCAAGTCCTCCAGAAATCTGCCAATAAAATTGTTCAAAATTAAATAAAATAAACTTCTGCTGCTAAAAGTAATCGTCTTGGATGCAAAGCAAAACAAATCAAGAGAACAAAAATGCCATGTCCTGGAGTTGAATATCTGAGTCCGGAATTCAACTAGGTACACAAATAAATAGGCGCTAGCTATCAAACTAGCACAAACACCATAACCACACAGGATTTTTTTAGCTGTGCTGCATCGAACCAGATTTTTTGAAATTAAACTCGGCCCACCAACTTATAGGAAGTAAAAAATCAAATATATCGAAAGAAACAAAGCATAAAGTACAAAAGATAAATAATCATTGTGCTCCTAATATTTAATAACTTATTTTAACATCAACAATCAGTTGCCCTCCAGTGTTTGAAGGTCCCTGTCAGCACCTAGCTTTAACATTATAATTCCGCAACACATTACACACGATTGAAGTTGGTGGTTTCTCTGGGAAAAAATTAAAAAGAATAATAAAACAGAGTGTCATCGCGGTTGCCCAAATTTAGTTTCAAGCAACTTTGACAATCTTGATAACAAGTACTGAAATGGTACAGAGAAGGCAAACCTGAAGTGCAGAGAGCATCATTAGCTATAGTGTTCGTATTTGAGCCAAACGTGTTGAAATGCAAAGTAAAAATATATGACAAGATACCTGAACCAGCTCATCTGAAGAAGATGCACAAGAAGGCAGTTTGTCCCGCGGAAGGATTCGAATCTGGGCTCCGCTGTCAGAAGACATCTGTTTTATTACACTACCAGCTTTCCCAAGAAGGCCCCCCACCTGACTGGAGAACACAAGTAACCTCAAAACAGATGAGGGAACCTTATTACCCCCTTCATCCCGCTCATCCATCTTTGATTCTCCATCAATGATCCTTTCAAACACAAGTAACAGAGCTTTGTGAACAGACGAAACTACATTTTCTGACTGAGCATCCTCAACTAGAACGGACTGCTTATCTTCATCATTTTCTCCATGCTCATCTGTGTCATTACCCTCATCACCCTTTCCAGTGATGATATTCTCCTCACCATCTGCCTTGCCATGTCCACTGCCAACTTCATTTTCCTTATCTGACCCTACAATAACAATGACTCTTTCATCACATCCAGGAAAAGTATCCTCAATCTGGACCTTTGCCCCCGTTTCCTGACGTATTTGAGATATAATGCCCCCACCTTTTCCAATTACAGCACCAATCTTGGAAGCTGGACAGAGTAAACGTATAACATTTTTAGCAGGGGATCCTCTCAATGCAGAATTATCTGCACCAAAAGCTGTTGATTTTTGCCATTTCCCTCTACCATTTAACTCTCTAGGATTTCGATCATATGATCTCTTTACAGGCATCAATTGAACTGACATGTTTACAGAATCTGAACAACAGAATGCTGATTTTTGCAAAGAATTCCTACTGCTGGGAATCAACAAGCAAACAACCAAAAAACCTGATAAAGCATACAATCACATTGCGGCCAGAAATGCTATAGTAAGTGAAATATACAGCGCAGGATACTTAATTTCATATTGTTATATAGTTACAAAAATGCAAACAACGTACATATGAGAGTAATGAGAATGACATACTCATCAAATGCCTCATATGTAGCAGTATTAAAATACCACTGGGCCAAGGAATAAGTTCACTATTAGAGGGCAAATCCCTAAAAGTGCAAGGACACACTAGTAAGTTTATTATTATGAGAAAAAGTAGAGGTTAACAATGAAAATTTTCTGTATTATCTAACTTAAAATGACATTAAAAATTTATTTTACAAGTCCAAGACCTGAATCATTTAGTATTAATGGTAAACCACATCTTATCAAGAGCTTTCAAGTTGGAACTCTCTGAAACCGACAGCTAAAAATGGAAAAATGGAGAGTATTTATGAATTATCCAAGCACATCAGAAGATACTCAATGCGAGAACCATTAAATATTAGAGGCATTCCATAATGGGATTCCTTGTGTGCTAAAATCACAAGTACATGATAAATTTGAATAGGTAACAAAACCCATCTATGTGGTTCACCTCACTCTCTCATGTTCCATTAAATAAAATCTTATACAGATTGCTCTATTCTGAAAAAGGCTTCTGATAGGGCACTTTGCTTCATGGTACACAAATATCATATAAAATCTTTCAAACATTTCTTCAGAAGACTTAGCGTCCGTGACCATTCAACACATGTCAAAATAAACAATATTTTGTTTCCCAAAAGTAGACTCAACAAATATATTCCAAAAATATGTCTTCCGCGTGTAATTTACCAAATTTGAACATTTTAAATGTTCCTATAACATAATTACAGGATTTTCTTCTCATCACAAAAAGTAAATAATTTCTTGCCAGAAATTCCACCAGCACAACTAGCTTCAGCATTAAACTACTATCGATTCTTGCAGCTACTGGAATAAAATTTAAACAAAAACTGTACACCTTTTTATGAACTAAACTTCAATTTATTCTTATTATTACTCACAAACGGTATTTTCCAAATGTTAAAAATACAGAGACATATCTTGCGTCTTCTGCTGCTATCAACAAACTATTTCCTGATGATGTTTCAATTGAAACAGAAAACATAACAACTCTACATTGATTGACAGAGACGTTTAACGCCCGGAGTTACCAAATGAATGCAGAAAATATTAAGAGATTCACACCAATCACACAGAATTCAAAGTAGAATTAAGAACGATTAAACTTACGGGTATAAATTAACCCAAGAGGAAGTGCTGTGGGTTCTCCCTTTGATTTTCGACTGAGCTCTCTAGGGTTTTTGGCTTGGAAAGGGGATTTTAAAAATTGTGAAATGAAACCCTTTGTTGTAACATGAGTTACGATGCAGAATTTCTTCCAGATATACACTTGTCAGGTTTTAATTGACTGTTAAATTCGTTTGATTGCAAATAAGGAAGAAAATTAATTTCAATTAATTGAATTGTTTAGAAATTATTTTCTTGATAATTGTAAATTATTATATTTGATTAGTATAATTTTTCACGTGGAATTCGTTGAAATAAAAGTACTTTTTATATCCATTTGACTTTGTTTTACATGAAAATTGTTAATTGAAGGGAAATACTTTTTTACAATAATTTTTAAAATTTGTTTTCATTGTCAAAGAAAATGGAAAAAAAGCTACAATAGCCGGAAATTATTGGTGAGAATTCAAATTCAAGGAAAATATGCAAATTTCATCTTCCTTGGAATTCCATGCCAATCAAACATGACCTTAATTTAAAAAACAAGGGAATTTCTCGATTCAAAACAATATTTTAAAAACCTCAGTATCGACCCGAAAAAGGAAAGAGGTTCGAGGGACAAGGGTCAAAAATTCGAATACGGAATGAATCAGTATCGAATTGGATGTCAAATTAAATAAATAACTATACACATAAAATGTATAACATTATAACAACAATAGATTTTTTAATTTTAGTTTTCTAATTTAAAGTAATTAAATGTCCATATTTTTCTTAATTAAATTTATTGTTTTAATTTATTTTATAACTTGAAAAACTAATAATTAATATGTACAACATAATTCACTTTGTTCAACTTGACGACTATAATTTGTTAATGGAAACAAAAAAATAAAATATTAATATCTAGAATTGAAATTGGCTTTTACCTTATCCCACGTCAAAGGTCAATAGAAGTGGAAGAGGAGCATCGTGATGGCAAGAATCATTATTGGGCTTGCTAGTAAAACAGGTGAGTCATCAAGATAGTTAAAAATTTTGTAAAGAATATAAAATCATTTTATTCGAAAAAATCGGATATGGTTTTTCAATTTACGATTAATCAACCGGTTTAATGGTATATTTGACGATTTTCAAAATTTCGGTAAATGTATGATGATAGAACCAGTTTTGAGGCTGGTTCACGAGTTTTCAGTTGAACCGGCCGATTCCATTTGGTTTTCTAACATTGATTCAAAATTAAGTTCTACGAGTTTTTTTTATATATATGTAAAAAAAAAAAAAAAAAAAGGGAAGATAATAAAAATTTTAATAATTTAATCTTTAAAAAACATAAAATTAAAACACGATGGGAATCAAACTTCAACTCGTCGACAAATCCTAATTCTATCTTCCTTCTAACTTTCTGTCTCTATATTATATCTTTATCCAACTCTCTACCCATCTCCTCTCTAATTTGGTTGAACGATCTGCATTTGTAGAGACGTCGCATGGACGGTGGCTCTCCTCTTAAGCAGCCGGAGCAGCGGCACTCTTTGTTGTCTTTCGACAATTCACAAATCTCAGATCATCACTTTTTAGATTGCCACTGCAGCTTCAAGTTTCATCTAGCTGAGGTAGAAAAAGAGTAAGATGCACCAAGACCATTGTTGATTTGTGTTTTGCAATTGTTGGTGGCGGCGTGGTGGTAATGGCGTTAGCGATGGTGGTGTTGGTTGTAGGTGTTAATTTGTTTGAGATGGTAGACATGGTTTGGAGATGTTGTTGCCACTACTTATGAGAGAAATTTTGGTATTGGTGGTCGTGGAGGTGGTGGCAGTGGCGGTGGAAATGACAACGGTGGTGGATGTAGATTTAAATTCCGTTGTAGTTGGTAGTGTTAGTCGTGTGGTGGTGGTGTGCAGCTGGGGTGTGTTGTGGGGGTTGTGCAGTGATTTTGGATGTGGTGGGCCTATTAGGCTGTGTAGGTGGTCGTGATGGCGCAGGCGATGGCAATGTTGTTGGCTGTGGTCATTGTCATTGTGATGGTTGTAAAGTAGTGGTGGTATTTTGTAGTGGGTATTGGTTTGTATAAACTTGTGGTGGCGATGATGGTGTTGGTGATGATGCGGCTAGAGATAGAAGTGTTACAAATTATTTGATTGATTATGACCAATAAGCAATACGAAACCAATGATAAAAAAAAATTGTTACAAATAAATAATGTGTGATCTAAATTTTGTAAATTTAATTTGTGACTGTGTAATAAATTGTTCCTTATAAAATTTGTAACATGTGATCAATAAATAAATTGCAACCTATAAATTTTTTATTTATGATTGATGAAAAAATTGTGACCTATAAATTTTATTCTGTTACTAATGAAAAATTTGTGACTTATAAACTTTTTTATTTGTGACCTTCTATAAAAAAAATTTATTTGTGATGCAGAAATAATTTGTAATCAATTAATTTGATAGTTGTGATCAAATTGTAAAGAATTGTGACATTAATATATTTAACCCATGTTTGATTCTCATTCTTTGAAAAATTCATTCTTAAACAATATTTTGACATCATTTTAACCATACATTCTTCATAAAATAATATTACATACAAATCTAAAACTTTTCTTTATTTTTTAACCACACATTTCTCATTAATACACTATTCAAAAATTCATTTTTATCAAAAGAATGGGGCTCAAACAAGGGCTTAATTTATAAAATATATTTTTAACTAATTATTTCATAAATAAAATTTAAGTAGTATCTGATTTTTAAAATTTTAAATCTTGTTTCTTAGTTTTGAAATGAGTAATACTTAATCTTTGAAATATGAAAATTTCCCTTTTTGCTTTCTCACATAGCTATATGAAATGGAGCTAGGCCCGTTAAAAGAAACTTAGAAAAAAAAAAGGAAATGGAGCCAAGCGGTTCAATTGTCACTCGTCGTTTAATTTATGTTTAAAATGGTTCATATTTTAATTATTTTTTTCCAAAACTCTGTTTATTTGTTGAATTGGGACTGAAAGAGTTTTCACAAAACTAAAAATTCAAATTTGCTTTAATAGTTAGATTATTTGTGTGTAATATATAAGAAGTCAAGAACAAAGAACACATTTTATCTTAATTTCTGTAATTCTTAGAGGAATCGTTTAACAAATTTTATAGGATAAATATTATTTGGGTGGTATATTTCACCTTGCCATCGGTTATTATGAATAACAGAAGTATATGAACAACGGTCTTGCCATTTTTGGAAGTTGTTTATAAATTATTTAAATTATAAGTAAATAAAAATGATTTACGGGTAGTATTTGTTCATTTTTTTTAAGCTAGCTTTCATTGGATTTGGATTCCCAATCCTCATGATATATGAAATTTGAATAAAAGATGATGATTTCTATGTTGAGGAGAAGAAATAAATGGGTTTAGAGTAAATGATACAGTAGGCTCTATATGAGATAATTTTTAGGAATAGAAAATAGTAGGGAGTAATTTTAAAGGACAAAATATTTGTAGGAGGAAAATTTAATTTATTGAGAAATAGGATTTAACAATGGATGGATGCCTTTATTACCCACAATGGCTGTAGTTTTTTTTTTCCTTCCAATCACTACTAGCATTTGAACCAATACAACCTATTCATAAACACTAAATGTCGGAAATACATGTCTAGAACGTTCTGATTTTTTATTATTTTATTTAATATTTTTGCTTAGTTTATTCTAGACTTTCATTTCTAGTTTTTTGCTGCCCATGACATTCTAGTTTCTTCTAGAAATAGGCATCACTAATTTTATCACTCGTCCTTGATAATTATTTCAGTAACTACAATCATTTCTCGTAATACTTCGAACTATGCTCGTGGTAGTATCTTCGTGAATATATCTGCTAATTGTTCTTTAGTCTTGCGGTGTTTGAATTATATTTCTTTGTTTGCTTTTGCTTCTCTAATGAAGTGATACTTGATACAAATGTGTTTGATTCTGTGGTAAAATATAGGATTCTTGGCCATTGCTATAACTAACTTGCTGTTGTAGTAATTCTTGAAGACCCAAGACTAACTAACCAAGAGAGAGGGTAGATTGGTTATAATAACTTTTTCGAAAATAGTTTTAAGTATACAATTAATACTTACTTAAATGTAGCAATTAGTCAAATATGAAAAGGAACGAAGATTAAGATAAATTCACAAGTAATAAATAAAAACAAGGATAAGTAAATGGGAAGAAAAGTCAAATGATATGATATGGAGGTTCGATCCAATACAATGATCTACGTCCCCGTTATCAAACTCTCTGATACGAATAAGACCTTTTCACTATATTGATTGACTTATAGTGCAATCCAACCTTCTTACAACGCTTTCGGTGACTTACAAACAATGTGCACCGTTCATTTACAATGTTGAAATTTTCGGGACTTCAACTCGATCCGCACGTTTGAAAATAAGAAGTATACAAGTAAAGACTTCTCTTGCAATGAATGATATAATTGAAGTTGAGTACAACAAGAGAAGATGGCTAACACTTTAGTAGATAGCAATGATTGAAGTTCAAGTGTTGGATAAGAAAAACTTCGATAAAAATGATTTCCAAATGTTGAATCAATCAAAGGTTTTTCTAATATAAATGAGTTGAAGAAATATATATATTAAAAGATGATTGAGTAGATAGATTAGTAATATCTCACTTTAAATGCTTATAAAAGTCTTACTTTGAATGCAAAATGATCTGGTATTTACAGCAGCAAAACAGTCAAAAGTCTATGGGATGAGGATACCAGACGTCCGCTAGCTTATCGGACGGTCAAATAACCTTTTTTTTGTTTAGAAGTCAAAACGTTCAATTTTTTGACTGTTGGACAAACCTGTCATACTGGACGTCCGCTAGACCTACCGGATGCGTTCTCTAGCTATCGGATACATCCTCTAGGTCAGCTCGTGTTTAGAAATGTTTAGAAATTTTCCTTCTTTAAATATTTTAACAAGATGTAATCTTGTGAAGGAAGTTTCTAACATGTTATACGGACTTTTTAACATTTCTTAAAGTATATAATAGGTTCATGCTTTCAAGAAAAATTCTTTATGCAAAAATCGTGTTTGTCGCGCGAAAAAATGTTTTTGAGCTTCAAATGACGTATATGCCAAATACTAAAATAT